TTTATTTCCCTCTTCTATCAAAAATTCATTACCATCTCTAATATAGTATTTTTCTGCACTGAAAGATGTCTTGAATTGGTCAATTCAAAAGTGTGTGGAATCTGGGCAAGTCTGTCCATTGAATTCAAACCAGATAGAGCCATGGTGTCAAATCATCTGGGAACATGGGAACTTGTGTGCTCTTTTCCTTTGAGTCTGTGGATTTGCAAATTCTGCAGATGGGCCAAATATGGTCCTATGAGCCCGAGCTGTAGAAAATGCACTTTCCCCATTTACTCAGTAATCAAGTAGAAAGCTAAAATAGAATCCAAGTTCTGTAATAGGCAACTTTGTAATACATTTCGAATTTATTACAATTATGGTCAATATACAAAATATTTAGAGGGTTGATTCTTTTTTCTTATTACTTTTTATGTATGTGTGCATGCTTTTTTTTCCAAAAGTAAAGAAATATATGCAAGTAATCCTAGTGGAATTCATCAGATTCGCAGAATTTGATAAGACCAATACTATTAGCCATTGTTTTTTAATATGTTCCTTTAGTTCATCGTTATTGAAGCCACGTCTGTGCTTGTTTTATAATATTCTTCATACTTTCATACTCTTTCCAAATAATTTCTTTTGAAGAAGGTTTTACTAAAGCAATTTCTCTGATAATTTGAGAAACTGATGGGGCAGACTAAGTCACTAAATCCAAAAGATCCTGGATAATATCCATTAAAAAAAAAAAGCTGTCTCTTGAAATGATGTTTTCCAGGACATTTTTAAGACAATGCATTTATAAAAAAGTATACCTGGAAATTGTTCTTTGGGAAAACAAAATATCATGTCTTGAATTTCTAGCTGTCATTTTTATTGCAAGACCACTGCAGAAAATCAGCCTTTATTTCAGGCTACTTCCTCACTATTCCTGCTATTGAACATCTTATGAAAATTCATAGACTCTGTCTGTGGTATACTTCATCGTTGCCAAATGTGATTAAACTGTGATTCAGATGAGAAAAAAAAATATCAAAATGCCTTTTCTAATATGCTCCTTCTTATTACGTTATTTCTGGAATCATATTTCTGTAACTTCATGAAACTAACATATTCTTTCATCTGTTTATCATGACCATGCTGTCCTTTTATAATTGTCAGGACAAATAACATGCTCTGTGTGGACAAGGTGTAAATATTCCAGCAGAAGGAAAAATGTAACAACAGGAGAAACAAAAAACCATAATAAGAACATTCATTTTTTTAAAAAGAATCAAGGTTTCCATGAAGCATCGTCAAGTATTACAGTGATTTTTGAATTAATAAAAACATCCTTTAAAAATATGATTCACATTTGTATATCGCAGAATCGAAGTAATAGGCTACCATAATGGGGGTTCATTGGTCTTTTGTTGCAAAAAATATGGAACTTTTAGCTCAGTATGGACAGCCTGGGACAATTCATCCAAAGATAACAGCCAGATTCACAGCCTGTGTAAGTTGTTTAGTTCTACTTATTTCAACAATGTCATGACAGATATAAGTCAACTGAATATTTGACATATAGACATATGAAGTCAACAGATTACACCAGTAGAGCTGAGAGAAGAATTTGGCTAAAGAAGCTAAGCTGTAAACATAGAAATTACAAGTGCAATTTAGGATTATTGCTGGTAGAGGTGAGGTCTAGGAATGGGTGTTTGAGATCTGTCTGACTCTTGAGCTAGCTAGGTGCAACATGAAAATTGAGGACTTTTCATATCCAGTAGAAGTAAGTATATTGAGGAGAAAATCATGTAGTGGAGCAGACTGGAAGGTCATTTTGTACCTCCACTGTTTCACTGGCAAACTCTTTTAGACCCTCACCTTATATCTGGGCTGTGCACTGGTGAATACTGCTGTTCGAAAGAGAAAAGAGTAAAAGCTGTGCTATGTGAATGTTTGCAGCTTTGAGGGGATTGGTACCAAGCCTCTGCTTCCACTAATATTAGTATCTGTATCCAATAAGGTCCTCCAGGGTGGATGAATGTGAATGTGGGAAGTAGCAGAAATATTCTACAAAGCTCTTCTTACCTCCAGCTACATGGATTTTACATCAGCGCAACTCTAGTGACATAAGTACGGTTGCTCCTGGTTTATACTCATGATTGACCGAGGAAAATTTGTTGCCCGTAAACTGCAAACTTATGACATCGGTGGTACACATATGGCTTTCGAAGATTTTCTTTCTTTCTTTAAAGAGTGACTTCCTCATTTCTACTTAGAATAATAGGGCATGCTGAGAATACGGTGAGCAGGAAAGTAAAGCTAACGTTAGTGATATGGAAGTATGTGAGACAGAACAGGAAATACCTTAAATAAATAATAGTGTTAAATGCTAAACTAACATAAAAACCTTGTAAAGTATCATAAATAATCTTAACAAAACATTTTCTTATACTGCAGAACTGTTAAATTTTTTTAACTTATCCAGACAGAAATGTAAGAAAGAATGATTTTTTTTTTTAAGTTGTGTATGGGTTTGGCTACGCATACATGGTTTTATTCACAGAGCAGAAATCCAGCACTTTTGATTTTATTTAATTTGAAACGTTTTGACAATTTAATTTACTGTCACATAAAAAATTAATCATCAGACATTTAGGGGAAGCTACTCAGACATTAAGTGTAAGTCTTTCTGGTGACAGAGCCATCAAGTAAAGACATACCAAACACTGCTAAGAACTATATATGGTCCATGTTATAATACAAAATGTGCTAAGCCATCTAACAGACTTAGTTTAACTATTTACCCATGACATCATTATAAGAGCTCTCCCTTTGATTTTGACATCATAAGCTAGAGCTTGCCTTTCAGTGAGTTTGGGCACTGATTTTTAGTAACTGGAAGCTGTGCTGAGTATGGCCAACAAAGCAAATAATATCTCAGTATCAGTATTGCAGTTCAGCTTCAATAAGAAAAACTAAATGAAAGAGCTTGTAGTTATACTAGTACTACAACTGAAATAACAATATCGTTTTCCATGAAGTTTGAGGTCTGTTGTGCTTAAAGACCTGAAATTATTTGCACTTCAAGGAAAAAGACTCTTCCAGAAAATTTTGTCTATTAAGTAGACTTACTACGCAGCTATTAGAATATAGTGTCTTTATCTTGTGAGACTGGTGTTTTTCATTTTCTTAGTAAGCCTTGTTTGGTTTGTTGATCTTCAAGTATTTATTTGCAAAAGGCATATTGGTTTTCACAAACATATTTTTTTCTTTTTCTGACTTACTTTCGTAAATGCATGAACCACTGTGTACCCTTTGCACTTTGATAAAAAAAAAAAAAAAAGAGATCCAAGAGATCATTTTCAGAAGTCTCAGTTGAGAGTGTCCGTGTGCATGGAAAAGGTGATTTATAATATCTTAAGATGAAAAACTTTGTGAAGTCAGTCTTATAAGTACTACAGCCAAGAACTGAGAGATGTAGGGCCCTACGTATTCACTATCACAGTAACTGTTATTTTTAAATAGGTAAGATTTTCAAATATTTCTTTGAAAACAGTCTAGCCATGCTGATATTTTGCAACCTTTTGTATTAGCTTATAAAAACTTACCGTAATGAAAAGTGATGCATTCTAGCAGGAAATTACTATGCAGAAGTAGTATCAGTGAGCCAAGTTCTGTGTAATTCATTTTATTGATGCTTGGTTTACGATGTATACAAATTAGTTTAGATCACATTTTCATATAGGTATTTTCATGTAGGAAGATTTTATGGGAAATAACCTGTAATGACAGCATTGGACTACAATTTACAATTGTTTCTCAGTGCTTGCTGACCACCAAGTATTGGTGGAGATCAGACAAGCTCTAGGACAAGAGTTCCCAAGGAGTCTGACTGCCATGTTTTCACCCTTCCCATCCCTTTCCCACTTCTTTGTTCTTTTTGCACAATCCGTTTCCATGACCCTAGTGTTGTTTTTCCTTTGTAATTTTACCTTCCACATTTTCTCTTCTCTGAGATCCATTTGTACTCTCCTATCCTCTCCTCAGTCAAAATCATAATGGGCAACAGAGATGTACTTCCTCAAAATCACTTAAAAAAGTGATAGACCTGAGGAGTACAGAGACTAGCACATGTACTGGGATACTGAGTCTGTTTCTTTGAATTCTGTCCACTTTATTGGCTGAGACTCAGCTCCTACTTCTGTCTCATTTTGTGGGATTTAGAGGAAACTTCTTTCTTGCATCCCAATACGGGGCTGGGGTTAAGGGTAAAGATATTTGATAGTTTCTTGTTGATAGCAGCATTTACTTAGGCACAACACCCTTTTACCTTAACTGAGGGCAAAACTGATGCATGAAATTGCCGTGGCCTTTGCTAGCTATGCAACTGGCTGAGATATAAATGATTTTTAAGATGTACAAGATTCTGGTGCTAACAATTGTTGGGAGATATGATCCTACACACAATCCTGAATAAGGCCACCCAGTTTAACTGACAGACGTTGCACACTGGGTTCTGAGATTTGACTAGAATGAGTGCCTTAGTAGTGCAAGGATGGCCACAATACTTGCTTTAACATCTTCACGTTGCATTCTGTAGCTTAAGTTATCTTGTTTGATCTGTTTAAAGTAGTCTACTTCATACAGATCATTAAGGAAAATTCAGAATGGGAAAGTAGAAGCAAATGAACTTAGATTCCCCATCAGAAATAAGTGATGGTTTTAGAATATATAGATAAAAAACTCTTACAAGAAGATATATTGACTTATGAATAATAATTACTGAACTTGCAAGGAGTTGCAGTAATTCCTTTAAAATTATGGCACTTTGTAAAGAACATTCTTTTATTTGTTAAATAGGGGAAACACTGCTTCCCTGGTGCTTTTGTTTTTCACTCTGGACTGTAGCAATGGAGCACTTGCATGTTGTGTTTGATGCCTTGCATGATAAAGACATGCAAAGGCAAGTTCCAGTCTGCATGCTGCTTAATGAATGTTTTCCTTTTCTCTCCTTCCCTGTTATGTGCTTACAGAAGACAACTATGTGGAAGGTGGGTGCTTTCTTACCTTATTTTCCTAAGCTCTTGTTTTACCCCTTTGTTTAGTGGTTTTTTCCCTTCTGCTTAGTGTTATAAAAGTACACATAACATTCAGTACGGTAAGTTGCACTTTTTTTACCTGTAAAGGTATACAAGTTTATTAAATAAGTGTGATTTCTTTTTCCATACAGAACACAAGCAAAGCCCTATGTTAATCTTGACTATATTGATGTAATTCCTGAATAACTTCACTGAAACAATATGAATATATCACTCTATACATCCTTCAAGAGATCTGCAGAAAGACTGATTCCTATTCATGTTCTGTATGAAAAACACTTCAAGAAAATATTTTTTCTTCAACATGGAGCATAAATCCTTCTCATAAGAATGGAATGCATGTTAAATATCTGTATTTTGGTTGCTTAGGAAAATGAAAAGCGCTTTTCTCCTTAGTCTTGCTTACTGTACTCTCCTTTACAGCACAAAGTTTTAGATAAAAGCTTTATCTGTCTAACTTTTCAACATGATAAACTCTGCCTTTTGGACTTTGTGAAAGAAGAGTTGTGATTTTAGTAATAATGCTGGTATGTAATTAAGACCCATTAAGGAAAATGTGTCACAGGGCAGTGGAAATTAAAACACAATGCTTCCTAGCCTGAATGTTGGTAAGTATGTCCATTAGCTGGTAAAACATGTTTGAGTGAGTTTTACACTTCACAGATCAGTTTTTGTTAGGAGTCAGTACTGCCCTTTTGTTCATGAGCCAAAGGGTGCAGGTGCTTTTTAAAGTACAAGAGCTTTAAAAATCCTTTCTTAATCTTTTCATATTTAATAAATTGCTATTTAAAATGATTTTACCTTTTAAAATGGAATTATAACTTTTTTTTCCCAGTAGTTTAAACACTTTCTTGAAATATAGGATTTTGTAAGCTGACATATGTGCAGTGAGACTGCCCTGACACTGCTGTGACCCATAGTGCAGGAGACAGACACCATTGGGCCTGAGGTTATTAAGGATTGAAGGCAATCGGAACCACTGCTCACTGGCAACTCTCTTAAAATGCCTGCCAATATCAGTACCATGTTCCCCTATGCCACTATACTGAAAGGCAAAGTGAGATATTCAGATTTAGCACATACATGATGCTGTGCAACTTTATTAAAAATACATGTTACCAGTAAGAGAAGTTTTAGGTTATTTTGATGCTTTAATTGCATGCAATGTCAAGAACATACAGATCAGAACAACTCTGTTTTCATTGTGAAATAGAAATTTATTCAACAACACAGGGATAGGATTTATAACTCAGAAGCACAAAAGGCAAGAAATAGGTAACTAATATTATGTTTGACCTATGCATGAAATTCTCACTGGTGTCAACATGAGGTTCGATTGTGAATTAAGATCATTACAACTAGATGAGGTGGTTCAGTTTCATTTCACATACTCATTTATGCACAGCAGTGCAAGATAAGACCTGGGTAACACTTAATCCAGGAGTTGCCTGAATCTAATTCTTAAAATTGCACACTTACATTTATTCCAACACAAGTCTGGATACATATGCATACATTAGATTTGCAAAAGATGTATATCTAAAGAGTAGAAGCATGGAACGTATATCCTAATCAGAACTGGGAAACTGAGCAAGTTTTTCATCTTTGAATTCTTTGATATCTGAATATTTCCTTAAATTAAAGAAAAGAAAGGAAAGGATTTTAGTATTCATGAAGTGGAATTTGATGGTGTAAAAAAGTTACATTGTACTCATTTTGTTAAAATTGTGCTAGGGTTGAACATGTTCACTGCAAGTTCACCATGTTTAAAATTTTCTTTGGCCTGTGCTCTGCATGGAACTTACACACAAGGTTATGAAAATAGCCTCTCTTCATGCTATTTTCCCTTATCCCATTTTGTGCCCCTCGACTTTCGTGCCAAGTTCAGTATAAATATGAAATGGATCACACATGCATACAGGAGGTATTCCTACTGAATCTTTAATTTCTAATTCACAAAGAAAAGGCTTTTATCATTCTGATTATGAAGGAATGGTGCACAAATGAATATTATTAATGTTTGGCATGCTTATATGTGGCCTGTCAAAACTAGATCTTTCTTTGACCATCTACTGTGGTTGTCTCAATTATAAGCACACAGTCATGTTGAAAATCTCGCAGTGATTGCTGTCATGGTGGGTTTATTTGTATCATTTTAAACCCCTCTACGGAGTAAACAGGTACAGTAACAGCAATTCTTCACTCTTCCACAGTCTTCATCCATAGATTGAAAAATATAAAATGAGGTAAGTAACATTATATACTCATAGCAAGTAAGTATAAGTAAGATTACTGCTTCAAAAATAAGTAGCATACAAATGAAGCAAAATGCAGTGCCTGAGAACTAGTACTACCTTTTTTTAATTGATGGCTGTTTGGTTTGAGCAGTGCATTTTTTTACAGACACTGGCTTCCTATTTTTAGTTGAACAGCACTGTAAGTGACTCTTAAAATTCAAGTGGTTTCTATGATGTTTTCAAGAGGCTTTTCTGCCATTGTGGTTTTTTTTTTTCAAATTATATAAAAATCACAAGTTTACAACCGACCATGCTCACATGCGGTATTACTAAAACTAGTAGATATCAAGCAGTGGTCATCTCCTGAAGCTCAGCTTTTTATTTAGGTCCTTATAACTATAAAAGTCAAGCTAGGAAGAGATTACCTTCTATTTTTCCGCTAGGAGTCACAACAGTCTTTACAGTTTGTGTTTTCAGTGTGTCTCAGTTGCAGCTAAGCTAATATAGGAAGAACATTTAGGAATATTTCTCCTAACTGCAGCATAGCCGTGAGGTACTTACCAGTAATGCTTACATAGGCATCCCTTCAGTATCACATTCAGCTCGTGCATTCATTGGTGTGAGCCTTGGATCCTCCCAGTAGTTACAGAGCACTGTAATTTTAAATGAATCTACTGCTCAAGATATGGGGCACATCAGGCCTTCCGGTTCAATTTGCCTCCAGGAATGGTGACGCTAAAAAGCACTCATTCAGCAAAACCTTTGTTAGCCTATTTGAAACATCACTTGAGATCTTGAACTGATGTGAAATCTGATTGCAGTTGGGAGTATCTTCTTTGAAATACCCCCAGGTACGATGAGTCATTTGTGCACCTAATTTTCTTTGTGAAGTAGAAATCACAGGAGCTCTCTAGGAAATCTGCTTTCCAATCAGGAGTAGGATATTTTATTGCACACCTTCTTTGTGTGAATTAACTATAACTAATTGCAAATAAGAAAATAGTGTATCATTTTTACAGTTGATGGAGAAGATAAGCACAAGCAATTAAGAACTTTTAAAATGGATTCTAAATGATTTAAGCTCAATGAGAATAAACCTGATGTGAAATGTGGAAAGTCTTTTTTCTGTACAAAATTTCTTCCTTCACCATGTTATTCTCAGTGAGGATATAAGTATCATTTCATTATTGTGTGTTAAAAAAGATGAATATTTTTGGTTAAAGATTAACTAAATTTGGCTCTGGTTGAGTGATTATCATTACGGCCATCTGTTTTGAAATGTCACTAGATCTATAGTGGTATGATTGGATTTGATCTCAAACTACCAATATAAAGCAAAATGTAATTCCTCACAGATTTATGAAGCAAATTCAGAAGTTGTCACTTAAATTTTCTGAAATTTTCTTTGCTCTGTGTTTTGTACTGCATATATAGTAATTTGCTTCCTCTGGAATGTATTCATTCTACTCTCACATTTCACACAAATAAGGAGACATCCCTTGCATTATCATTTCAATGTGATAAATAAATTTTGTTTTAATTACCTGAAATGCTCATTTTTTATGAGGGGAAAAAGACCAGACCCAGCCCATTTTTCAGGTTTACACTTTCCAGGTTTTTAACCTTTTGTAAGTAGAGGACGGGAAGCCCTCCTCCTAGCAAAGTATTCAAAGCAATATCATGAAAATACAATAAAGACAGATTATTAAAGGATTTGGTTGGATCTGGAAGCATTCTAGTATTTTCTGCCATCCCAACTATTGCACAGAAGAAATACACAGCAAAACAGTACCCAGTGTTTGAATTGCAGTTCTATTTCTCATAGCCCAAAGCATTCCAACCAGTGGCTGAAAAATGCTCTTTGATTTCTGTCTGTGGTACAGACATCTCATAGGAAACAGATGCCTGTCACAAAACATTTTTGTCACTGTGACAACACCACCTTCCCATGCTCCCTTGTTCATTGCTGACTGTGCTCTTGTTTCCCTTCAAGGTCTGGCGCACCTGATGATGGGCGACCAAGGTATGGGCTCTGTTCCTTTTCCACTCTGCTTTCATTGTTTCTTCTTGTTCTGTAGCTGCTTTAAATCCATCACTGCAAACGATGGGCAAATGCTTGAAGGCTGTCTTTGGCTGCAAATAAACACATGGTTTTAGTCACATCTTTCCTTATTTCATTTTTTTTTCTTTTGTTTGCTCTGTAAGCTTTTGTCCTTCCTGCCTCCTGAACTCCCCCTCTCGCAATATGATAACTGAAAAGAGGTGAGAGAAATAAGAAGGTGTTTAAGAAAATGTCATGTATTTATCCGAAAATACAATAACGGGTGATTCTATAAAAGATAAATGAATCGCAAGAGCGCTCTTCGGAGTTCCTGGGAGAAGATACTGAGCTTGTCACACTGTACGCCTTGAAGAGTGCATTTACCTTAATGCATGGCTGAGTGGAATTTGCAGAAAGCACCTGCTCCTGGCTTCTGGAATGCTGAGAGTACAATTTTGCCACCTAAAGAAATCAGTGGCTTTTCTTCTCCTAACTCATTGTTCCCTGTTACTTTTCTGTCACTTTTTCTTATCTAAGCATGGGTTATTTCTGTGTTTCGCTGCATGTACATGACTGGAAAAAAAAATAAACTAAATCTGTAATATGACATTGATTGCATCTCCATTTGTCTTCAGACCTTAAACTTTGTCCCTTTTCATGTTTAAATATTAGTGCATTTACATATAACTCACAACTCTTACTGTTGTTTCTCTCCTCTTCTTATTCTCTTTTTGTCTGGAAATGCTTTCTTCATGGAACCATTTCACCAAATCCATAGGTAAAAGTAAAGGTATTACATGATTTTCTTTATTTTTTAATGCCATCAGTATACTTTAATGTATGTCTAAGTAATGCAAATAAATGTAAATCTTTTTGCACTGAGGTAGGTATATTTTAAGTAAATATTTCATGGATGTTGAGGTAAGGAGAAGTATCTAAAGGATAAGCTGTTGTTTTTAACGGTTACCTCCTGGTTTTGCGAGAGATGTAACATGTGGCAGTGATAAAGGAGGCTACAGTTATAGAAAGCATTCGGAATGAAATGACAACCATGTTTTGAGGTATGCATTTTTCTGTTCTCAAAGAATTGTAGTTTAAACCACCAGGAATAGGAAAAAAAACAAAACAAAACAAAACAAAAAAAAACACATAATGTTGTTCAACAGAAATTATCTGGAGATAATCTGTCCAGGGCCCATACACAGCTCCATGTAAGTTTTAAATCCCAACTGACTTCAGCAAGTCTCTGCTATCAGGTGGTCACTTTTGCCCTGAGATTTTTCTTGTAAGTTAATAACTTTGATTGTATCTGAGACAAGAATTGGAGAAAGGAACAATGAAAAATGAACGCTAAAGTGAAGTGTGGATTTTATTTCAGATTTTGTTACTCAGTTTTATTTTTTGGTGTGAACAATGGCAGCTATATTTACTTCCTTCTTTCTGCAGGGAACATGTGAAGTAGGGTCAAGATTTTTTCCTGTATAATTAAACGCCTTGTTTTGCTATGAGGATACGTGCAGACATCATGTCCATACATTCTTATGATAAGAAGTTGTTTTTTTAATGTTAGTAAATCTGTGTTATAGAGTAATGATATAGTTCTGTTTATCCTAAATCCGTGTCAGGGTGTGCCAACTCTGGGTAAATATCAGAAAGCCAATTTGTGTCATAGTACTTCGCTAACTATTCAAACTAGAAACAAACTTCCATGTATCTTGCTGTCTTGTCTGATGTAGTGTTTCCAAACCTAGAAAGTACATGTGATGCAAAGCCTGTAGTTGCAGTCCTGTAGTGTCTCCTTCCTCATATCAGACTTTCTGGAGATACTACTTACTTAGCTATCACCAGCAAAATATTAAAGGGTTATGAGTGTTCTGAACACATAAATCTTCTTGCTTAGGAAGTTTTAAGGAAGTAGACTAAAACCTGGTTTATTTATTTCTTACAGGATTGTTTTGTTTCTTCCTTGGTTGATTTTTTTTGCTTTTTTCTTAACAGTACCTTGTACATATGACTTCCTTATTCCTTATTATGAATACTTCATTACATAATGATAGATGTTTTTGTTGGAGTTACCCTAAAGTGACATTTTGTAGCAACCAAATCTTGACATTTTTGATCATTTTTGTTATTATTAAGGATTATTTTTTCAAGCTTACTCTATACACAGAATAATATATACATCAGTGAAGGTTTTTTTTGTTGTTGTTTAAAAGGGCGAAAGCATGTAAATATGAATAAATGATTAACAGTTGATATAGAAAGCAGATTTTAGAAAAAAATATCATGCAATGGTTGGGTATTTTTTATTTTTATTTTTTAAAGGCTTAACAGTTATATTCACAGAAAATGACATTGGTTATACTAGCTACATTTAATGTGTAACAATGTACTACATGAACACATAAACACCATGTGCATACATGTACATAAACACCAGTTACCTATCATCAAATCAGTCTACTACATTTTTCTTTTCACATTTACTATTTTTACTAATTTTTTCCTTTTTTGTGAGATTCCACTGTTATGTTTTGATAACCACAGTGCTTCCTCTTTGCATATAGTAGTGTATATCTGTTCAAAGGAACAGAAAGGATTTACGTGTATACAAAATACACTTGCCTGTAACTGAAAATTTGTCAGTATTGGACCATGTCATCAACCATTATTGACTACGTTAAAGCTACATTATCAAACATATGAACTGAAAACGGCTGTGATGCATATTTATAACATGTGAGAATATAAGTAGTAGGAGAGTGATGGAAAGATGAGACAAAAGTGAAGCTTTGCGTTGGATTCATTCACACTCATTTCAGTCTTTCATTATAATTTGAATTCCTTTAGAGTTAGGTAAGGTCAGTAACAAAAGTGATTTGGGGATTCAGAGTAATTACACCATGAATTTATCTTCAGCTGTAAACATAACCAATAAAAACATTAGGAAGTTTTAATATGTAATTTGCTCAGAAATGTGTAAGTGGCTGAAGCACCACCTGTTTCTTTTCATAGGTGTTATGTGAGATTCTGGGGAAAAAAAAGTATCAATGTCCCCACAAAATGAGATGCCTCAAGGACAGGACAGTGACAGGCCAGAGTCTTATTGTAGACAGAGGAGAGTGAGGTGAGGCAGCCTTTCCAAGTGGGCACACTGTACAAAATCCAGTAGCATCTCACTGGATGTACCTGCCGTTTGTCACTTAGCTGCATGTATAGCTTGAAATACTCCGCATAATTTCCTGACAGTTTTTATAGAAGCAGTGTCGATATTTACAAAGCTGTCACTGTCTCCTATAGAAAGGCAGAACAAAGTTGGGAAGATGTCACCGTGTTTACAAATGTCTGTCAGTATTTGAGGTCATACATGCATGTGCAGAACCAGCTGACACAAAGCAGAACATAAATCCCAGAGCTTTTGTAGCAGCCATTACTGCTTGCAAATGCTAAGCCTAATTTTATAAAGAAGCGGAGAGTTTTAATTGTACTGGCATTCATTTATTTTCTGATAAACTTTCTGTCTGTTCAGAAGTACCAGGTTTTGTTTGTTTGTTTTCTGGAAATCTCCTACCTGTATATAACTATAGCAATAAGCATGCTGCAGCTGTGCTGGTGGAAAGACCTGGGGAAAGCAAATCTTAAATGTGGTGGTCGCTGTTAGAGTGATTGAATGTATTATTCAGAACACTTGTTTGATTTCAGAGAAAACAAATGCTTTGCCATCAGAAATTTTGTCTGCCTTCTCCATGCTGTGTAGGAGGTCTAATAGCACAGTCATTTTCACATATAGGTTGTACCTCATCACAAGTTTAGTACCTCCCAGATTTTATGATGAATGGCAATATAACTATGATTACACAGCAACTAATGTAAAACACTCAATTGCTTCATTTCCATCCTATCCCTCCCCCTGATTCTTTTGTTTCTCTTCATTCTCTTTTGATGAGCAATAAAATGGTTTTATAATTCAGTTACTACAATATAGTGACATGTATTGCTTCCATTTTTCATTGCAATTCTCCTAAGCTTGTACATAATTTTAGCTATAGTTTAGTTCTGTACAAATATTCTACTTTTGACTATGTTTGTTCTGTATCTAAACATCAAGCTCATATTTCTGTTCTATTTAGAAATAATATGCAGCTTTAAATCACATGTGAGTTACTCAGGTCCATAACAAGCTATGAAATTATACTTAGCATAGCAGTAATGGTTTTACTGAATGACTGATATTACAACTTAAAATGTATTGTGTTAGATTACAGGCTTATGATGTGTTGGTATTTGGTGTACTGCATGTAAATACTTAAGACGGACCTCAGAATGTCAATATTTGTGTCAACCTCCTTGCCAAGAGTGAGTGAGTTTTGCATTTGCACAAACAATCATACTGCATTTGTAAAAGCCAAGTGACTCCACTGGCTATCTATAACAATGGAATTTTATTGATTATCAGTTGTATAATTCAACTGACAACTGAAGGCAGTGGGAAATTACAATAATATAAATAAATATTTATACAATCATGAGCATTAAAATGATATGCTACATGTAAGAAGTTGTTTGAGGTCATGGTATACTACGTGTTTCATGCAATACGAGCAGCACTTTATGTCAGTAACCTCCCTTATCAAATTATGAGGAATTGTCTGAATTTATGCAACCATATGTTCACCCTTTTTTGATTACTGTTTTCAAAGAACTAAGACAGTTTTGGTCTCCTACACTCTCTGAAACTCCTGGGACTGCTGAGAAGCCAGTGCTCACCTGTTTTTGTCTGTGCTGCTCCAAAGTGGGTCTGAGAGCCATGCATCCTTCAGCCTTCCAAGGCCTGTCACCAATAGTCCAGAAGTCATGTAGAAGCCTTGGTATGGCACTGAGCTGTAGCATAGATTATTATTTTTCTTTAGGTGCCCTGTTGACATGGATTCAATTGTATGTCTTCTTAAATGCTGCTGGCATTTTTGTTTTGGCTAAAGCAA